CACAGAGGACATTTGCCTGACAAATTACTTGACATATTCTGTCAAGAAGTATCTAACTTTTCGTACGAAGAATGAATTTGTTAAGTGTCAAATAAAACAGTATTACTGTCTGATAACCGTATAATTTACAATTATATTTTTTCCTCCTGATTTCACTTCTTCGCGCCGCCACTGCATGTGCTGCTGGTTACGGGATGTTAATTTAGTGTAATTTTAGAAAATAAAGATAAATTCGTCATTTTTATTTAAGAAATAAAGATAAATAAATGAAAAAAAAATTATTTCTATAAAATAGAGGTAAATGGATCCATTTATCTTTACTTTCTAAACATAAATAAATCGTTTATCTTTATTTTTTAACTATAAATGATTCATTTTATATTGATCCATTATTATAAATGAACAATAAAACTAAATTAACAACCCTACTGCTGGTACACATCGTGAAAAATTTCCTAATAATAGAAATTTTTACTATAGGACATACACTACTGTAGCAAATATTAAATTAAACTCCAATGTGGAATATACACCAGTAGATGTATAGAAAATCGAGATCTTTTACAGAATTTATTTCACATTTTTTCTATCAAGATCCAAAAACAGAAAAAAATACCAAGATCTTTCCTCATTCTATTCCCAGAATCTCCTCTTCAAATTATTAAGTAACAAAAATCTATGTTTTATCGTATATGCAGACATCTGCATTTTAATCTGCACTAATGGGAATGGAAATTTTAAATTATTGAATTTCAATTTCTACTGTAAGATGTACATGTTAAGATATATTTGCGGTGTGCACTTTTAATTTACTGATGTTAAATGTTTCACAAAATTGTTCCTTGAAATCAGTCAACGTTTCAATTATTCGTAGTAACGATGTGCGAACATAATGGCTACTTTGAAACTATGACGTCAAACTTATTCTATTTCATCAGTGACATGTAAAGCTTTCAATGTCGATAAATACAAATATATGTTTCTCATGAAATCTTCCAAAAACAAAACAAAAAAAAAAACCCAACGAATAAATAAATATCTATCATTGTCAAATTACATGAGAAAGTATTTAAATTTTTAGAAGGCTAGATTGTACAGCTGAAAATAAATAAATGGAAATAATATAGGCATTTTGACGGTAAACATTAAACTTTAATTAGAGTTAGATTTACCTCGACTTTAATAACATGTGTACTCACTATCGTGATAAAATAAAGAAATACTATCAGTATGACCTCTTAGTTTGAGTGCATTTTATTCGTTGTCATTGTTTGAGCCAAGAGATCTGATGCTAATGGATCGTCAACACTTTCTATTAGTACTAGTGATTTAAAACGTGATAGTTTTCTAGTAGCCACAATACTTTGTAGTTGTTCTTGACTTTTATCTTGTGTTGATTTTATCGATTATTTATAATCTTCGGAGCACTTGTTTGTTGTAAAACTAGACGATGTTAGAAATTGCAAAAGATAGACGTGCTACGGTGTTCAAAAACATTACTGCCTGATGCTGAACCAACAGGTAAAGAAAAGATGAGAATGATCAAAACTTTTGTTTTGAATGTTAAAAATAGTTCAAATACGTATGAGAATATAAATACAGAAAACGTATTTAAGTTAAGTGCAAGAGTGATTTCATCAACTGGTTTATTTTGTCTAAATCATCAATTTGATTTTTCACGTGCATTTGATAATTTCTTGTTGCTATTTGTATTTTAATTTTGTGTCATTAATTTTGAAAATTTTTTCACGGCCACCATATCGTCATACTGTTGTAACATATAACGCCATAATAAATCTACATATTTACATTGAACCACGCTTGAGCAAAATTTGACAACGCTGGTTGATTATCACTTTCCGATATACCTTTTGAAAATATCGTAACGATAATAAGTAAATGTATAATACTTTGATTATTTTCCGTTATGTTGATCAGAACAGACATTAGTTGCAAATAATTTTGATGAATTTCTTCAAAGTGACATAGAGTAAGTAATGCTTTACGTTGTTGAATACATTCATTTGACGATTCCAAATATGTTCCATGGATATAATCCAAATCCAATGATTTTGCTAAAACAAATGCGTAAACCAAATTATATTTAACGAGTATAAAACGAACATTTTCATCTAATTGTTTAAATTCTGGTATTAATTTCAAATAATCAATAAATTTTAAAGCTGTAAAATTTTGTATATCCATTATGTATGTTAATGCTTCCATTTTATCCTTAATTTGATACGGAATCAATGGTGGAACAGTTGATTGATGACTAATTAGATATGATGTTTGAATACATTGAATTTGAAGACGATCTTCATTAGTAAATAATACTTTATCTACTGTTGTTGTGATACGGGTGAAATTTTGAACAGTCTAGAATCAGGCAGAACAGTATAATATTGTTCTGGATAGTAAACAAAATATGTATTATTCACTGTAACATTATTGTTATCTTGTTGATAGTGATGATCTCTATCATCTACTGTAACCGCATCTGTATGATTGAATAATTGATTATTTTCTTCCAAACGTTTTTTTCGTCGTAATCTTGCTTCTAGCGTTAGAATAAGATCTTTTCTCATACCTAAATAAAAGTAAAATTGAATATATCAATAATTAGATATATTCATGAATCATCACCCATAGAAAAACATCTTTTTAATCGGCAACGTTTACATTGTCGTCTAGCATTTGTTATCTTACAATTTTCTGATCCTAGACATACAAGTCTATCCTAAAATAAGTTAATGAATGAATGAACGAATGATTCGAGCGAAGAAAATCAATATTTACAATCGATTGTAATGCATTTCTATTAAAAAATGATTTGCACGAACCACAAGTAATTGCATCATAATTGTATCCTAATGTTGAAAACAATTGATTAATTGTTCATCACTAGTGATTATTATTATCTTTGTCTTTCGGTTTTCGCCTCCATTGGGTACTACACTTCGTTTTCTAATATCCATGTTTATTATCAATTGGAAACGAATATTGAAAAATTATTGATATTTACACGTATATAAAATATTTACAGATGACCATAATGGTGTTGATGTAATGATGCTTTTCATACGAATTACATCATGTTTTTTTCTTTTCTATGAGTCATGGTGAACACGTCACACAGGTAAAATATGCATTATATCATAAATTTCACAAAAAAAAAGAAAGCATAAAATGATGAGCAACAACTTTTCTCTACCTTTTCTTTTTAGAACGACACAAGACTTTTTCATACCATATCTGGAAAATCAGCATGCATAAATTTTCTATTTTTTTCTGCAAAGTAGTTAGAAAGAATACGAGAATAGCATTAAGAAAAAAAAAATTTCCATCTTATATTACAGATGTTAGCATAATATTTCTGAGAAAAGATAAAAATTCCTCTCAGTAGAATTATTTCACTTTTTCGGAATTAGAATTAATCAATTAAATCGTAACTTTTCTACAAAGGAATGAGATACACAGATACACAAAATGTTTTAGAAACTTAATGAGATATAACGTTCTAACTTTGCTCACAGATAGTAGAAAATAAAATTTCACAGTCGTTCAATGTTGAAAAACCAAAAGCTTTCAGACATTGAGAGTACTCATCTACAAACCCTAGTCGAGAGTCCCGGCAGAAGTCCCGCGGGAGTTCCGTTTTGTAAAAAACTCCTGCGGGACTCCCTCGGGAGTTTTTTTCTCAAAAAATCCATAGGGAATCCTACGGGACTCCACAAAAAGTCCCGCGAGAGTCCCATACACAAAAAGTTTTAGTTTTTGAAAAAATCAGTATGAATAAAGGGGCAGGTAGTAAATTCAGGTGTACACAGCAAATTCAGCTGTCTGTTCCCTTATCCAAGTAGGTCTCATTTTCGCTAGTCACAAGGTTACACTATCGGAAATCCAATAGTGGAAATCCTCTTTCACAGATTAATTAAGTCCGTATATGTCACAGAAAAGAATGAAAAATCCTCGAAAATAATTATTAACCAGCGATCGAAAGTTTTCTTGCCCAGCGGTATCCGAAAAAACTAATTTCATCTGTTTAACATCCAGATTAATTGTTTGAACTTGAAAATCTATTCCACTTGTTGGCAGAAAATCTGTACAATAACAACTTTTGATATAAAAGAGTCGCTTA